CCTTGCTTTCATTCCTGGCTGTTCGGTATTTTTGTAGCTTTTCCTTGTTTCTATCTTGAAGGTATGTTTTCCAGGAAAGCTTTTTCCGAGCAGCTATTCGTTGAAGGTCTTCGGTATTCAGTTATGAATTTCTTTTTTTTTTTAATTATAAAATTTAACTTAATGATGAAAGAAGAACTTAAAAAAAGATATTTTTTCCTATTTATAATGATAAATTTGTTGTTGTTTATAAATAAAATTATTTTGTATAAAATCTATGGAAACCTTTTTCTAACATGTGATTATTAGAAATAATAACGTATAATAATAAAATAAGATGTAATAAACATGCTAAGCAGAAAAAGTATGACTTGCTAACAAAATTTAAAATACAATAACCTATATTACTTTCGCAACTTTCTTGGCTTAAATATTCAGGTAACGATATCTTATCCTTTTCCCCACTAAACTAAAAATAAAAAGTGCCAACAGGAAAAGTGATATTGGTGGTTATCACATTAAAACGAGATAAATATACGTATTATAGAATGTCAGAAGTATTAGTGTAGTTTTTTTTTTTTTCTCCCGGATTTTTTTCCTTGTTTAGAATATAGAATAGTACAATAATAAAATAATTAAAAAAAATAAATTATTTTGATTAGTTTTAATAATTATTAATTCAAATTTCATTTACTTATTTTTTTTTATGCTGTACAATTTAATTTATTTTTCTCTACTAGTTAATTTTAAGTCGTTTTACTATTAAATATTTAACATTTTCAAAACAATGAGGGTTTCAGATTGAAAAAAATTACATTTTATCACTAACAGACAGTAATCTTAGTGGAACAAGTATATAAAAGTTGTTGTTTTTTCCTTGAGTCCGTCTTATACTTATTGAACCCACATTTTATTTTATTTTAAACTTTAGCTAATTTAACGGTATTGTGTTTGCTTATTTATTTAGATTAGAATTAAAATAAGAGATGGTTATATACAGTTAAAATAATAGTATAAAAAATATTTTATTAACTAATCTCAGTGGAATAAAATTAAATTTTAAAACAATGAAAAGGAAGATTGAATATTTAATGCAAATTTTTTTATTGTTTTGAATTGATGTATTTTTCGAAAAAAAACTACAGAACCTCATTTTTAATACAATTTATAAAACTAAATTTATAAATTTCATAAAACTAGTTATAGGAGATATTAGTACAAACCTAGAAATTGTTCGAACATTTACACAGAAAAATAATTTTATTTTAATTTATTTTAAATATCTTCGGGTGGACCATGGCGGTTCAAATTAATATGAATTTATTATTAATAATGGCTCTTAAAACGTTATAAGAAATCAATTTTAGAAGATATCAGAAGTTTTTTTTAAATCGCAGCGTTTGTAAAAATTGGATTTAAAAACATCTATTTTTTAACAAAAGATAGAAAAGATTCGATGTAAAAAAAGTTTTCTAAATAATTATATTTTTTTATGATTAGGCAGAATGACGGTAAAAAGTGTATAAAGTTTCAAGAATAAAATATCAACAATCAGCTCGAACCAAGCAATTTAACAAAACCTACAAATCACGCGAAATTCCACACGTTAACTAGGTTTTCAATTAAACTACTTACTAAGAACACTATAAAATGTTCATTCTGGCAACTAAAAATATTCTGAGAAGCTGCCTAAGGTATCAATTAAACAGTTAATCTAGTTTTTAGAATTATATATATAAAAAAAAAAATATTTTAGCCAATGTAATCATTACTCGTCCACTGTGCCCCGTGGTAGAGGAGCGAAAAGAGAAAAATGTATTGTCAAAAACCAAATCGTTAAAAGATAACGAATAATATTCAGGATCTGGTTTAAAATATCTCAGAAACTAAAAATCGGACCTACATACTGTAAGCAAGGGAATTATTTAGCATTCCATCTTCTCTGCAATGAGCTATTATTCAAAAATTATCTTAACGTTAGAGAGGCAAAAATGGAAAATTAGTGTCTAAAACCAAATGATAATGAGTTTTATTTTAGATGTGGATTAAAATGTCTCAGAAACTAAACATCTGATTTGCATACTGTAAGAGAGGGAATTGTTCAACATTTCATCCTCTTTACGGTGAGCTGTTATTTATAATTTTTATTTCATAATATTTATCTCGCCTAGGTGATTTTTTCACTTTTATCGTGTGGTATAAAGAACACACCTAAGTTTTTCTGTAGTAAATTGTTCATCTTTAGTTTGATTGGTGAATTGATCAGTAAATTGATTTCAATTGTAAGCAAAAAGAATACTTATTTCATGGAAAATAACTTACATCCATTAGCACTGCTGAAGTTATACTCGTGCTACATCCTACATCCTATCCAGGAAACAAATTGAAAACTGGAATGTGATGCGGGATTAGGCCCAGAGAGGCCTCTCCCTAAATAAGATCATTCATCCCAGCTGACTCCACGGCCACATTCTAATAAGGCAGTCCTTCAAGCGAACCCATATCAGCTAATTAAGCTGTTCATACCACACGACCCACATCTACTCCATCTACGCCCTCGCTATGGGTAACCACCAACCCTTCGCTATAATTGAAGGCCTCGGGTAATATTCTTTCCTCTCCTAACAAAAGGCCACGGTATTATTAATATTGATAATATTAAAAAATAAACTAAATATGAAATAAATCATCAAAATTAAATAATAACTAAATTAACAAGATAAATGAAAAATAATTTTCTGCACCTTACAATAATAGCAGATTCAATTTTCGGTATTCAATTTACCAACCTACATCACTGGCTTTAGCAACAGTGACGCGATTGAGAGAGTAGCGGAGGAATCTCTTGGAGCCCTGTTTTTCTTTCTATAGTGGAAGGGAGAAGCCTGGGGATTCCCGCCTAATTGTATATATTATATATAGGTATAGACTGTGTTTTTATGTTTTTAATTTACTTATCTTTAAGTTATTTCATTTTTTATTTCTACATAGTTTTTGGTTATTATTTTACTTTTGTTAATTTCATACTTTCTCTATATACGGGGTGAATGTGTTCATATATTACTCTAATTATTGTCCACGTGACAGATTATTATATTTCTAAATAAAAATTAAAAAATAAATAAAAATAAATTACCAACCATTAGGCCAGTTCTATGGGGAATATGTATCATCAATTTTTAAGTTACAATAACATAAGAAAAGAAGTTACAGCCTAAAAGAAAGTTTAAACTATAATTACTTGATGTATTTTACGTTTAAATTATTTTTTTAATCAGCTACCGACTACTTGAAACTTTTTTTAGAACTTATATAATTAACTTAATTAAGACATGAAAATGACTTTTTCTTACAACAATTCAAATAGATAATGAAGCATTGTTGTTTTGTGGGCTTTCACATTGGGAACGGGAGGGCAAGACTGGATATTGGGAATTCTCAAGAAACTGATTGATGTCAAACTGTATATCATTCTAATGGCTTATTTTTATTACAATTTATAGATATGTTAAAAATTAAAAATAAAATATAAATAGAAGAACAATTTAAAAAAAAATCTTGGATTTATGTCAAAAAATTTGTACTATATAATGCTTAATTTTCACTTAAACTATTTACTGGCGTACCTTGCATATACTTGTGTTTCTAAAGTCTTTTTCTATTGACATAGGAAACTTTTCGTGGCAGTTTCGTAAACGTTGCAGCTATATAATTTATACTGCCGAAACATGAGTTATGATCAACTGAGATATTGTCAGGTATAAATCAAGCCAGTTTTTAAGGAAAGGAATAATTAAGCTCTTTTTCAAGATTTTACTCTCTAGTGATTTTACGAGGAGTTTATGAACGGACCAAGCTCAACTTTCAGGTTTTCCCCAAATTAAGAATATTTATATTATTGAGGCTGGTTCCCAAGTGGTTCCCAAAAGGGTCCCTTGATTTCAGGGTAAATCAAAGCATAATAGCTTATGTACATGAATATACAATTATCAACCCCATCCATATCCGGATTCAGAACTATAGGACATATAACATGAATTACAAACTGAATCCAATATCTCCAATTAGTGTATATCGGTATGTATGTGTTCTTTTTTTATTTTTTTATGTTTAGGCTATCTTATAATTATTTATATATATATATATATATATATATATATATATATATATATATATATATATATTATTTTTCTGTATAATTAATTTTTTTACTGTACATAGAGTGTGAATGTGGTCTCAGAACACTATTATAAATGTTGTTTGAGACAGATTGTAATATTTTCAATTAAAAAAAATAACTCCAATATATTGGTCAGATTTAAATATGTTAAAAAATAAAACAAGATTTATTTTGTCCGCGCAAAGTTTAATTTTTTTTTTCAATTTAGGTACAGATCCAATTTTTTCAATTAACCAATTGACTATCCGCCGATTGTCTGACATGATCATCCCTCAAAAAAAAAAAAAAAAAAAAAAAATAGACGAAAAAGAATCATCTAAAATTTTATAAATGATTGCAGCTGATATCTATATGACAAGTCTTTTACATTCCCATATTCACACCTTTGCTTTGTGGTGCATTCGACAATAACTTAAAACCATTAAGAAAACGATCAATATTTTAATACTGATATAAAATAAAGCCAAGAAACTACTTATATATTCTTTCATTTCACTATTGAATCAGACTGTCCCATGTTTTCATAGATGTACTTGTAATAAAGAAAACTATTCATATGACTGTTTCATCTTTTCATGATATTTGTAATGCAGAAAACTAAAGTGTAATCAAACATTCCGATTATATTAAATTCAAGTCCGTGAGTTTGTTTCATTGGTCCTCGAATATTAATGCGAATATTTGTCAACGCTTGATATTTCCTTATACTCTTTAAGGTCGTCGATTTTTCCGACATATAAGAAAAAATTAAACAATTATCAAAATATTTTACCTATCAAAAAAAAAAAAACTCAGGTTATGATTTCTAAGCGCCTTGAGGTTCAAATAAAAATTGGTTCAAATGCGGGCGGGTTATAATATACTTTTTAGAATACCCACGGACGAAGCTAGTTTATTAGTACTTCTAACTGAGACTAGAATAAGTTAGATAACTGTAGGATAAACATTGATTCCTAAAATAACCAAGATACAGGAAGATTTGAATACCCAAATTAAGAAACAAACAACAGTAAACAAAAAAAAAAACTAAATGAAGCGCTGTAAACCAAAATATGAGGTTCCTTCAAAACAGGCCGTAATCCATCAAAGGCAGGAAGAGTCTGCTCTGTATCTGCTTCCCCTAGGTGCCACATTTTCTTATCCCTGCTTTCCGAAGGGTTCCTGGTGTAGTCGATAGCTTATCTTACTAGAAGGAACGCTCCTGTCAACGAAAGCAAAAATACAACAAAAGTATCTCGAGGCGAGGATATTACCTCAATTTTTAAAGAAAATTTAGTATAGCTTTATAACCTTGAAATCAATATTAGATTGAATATTTATTATTACCTGGAAAATTTACGGCTGATTTTTTTTTTAATGTATAATATTTTATATTTCAAAATCCCCACTGGATAGAATGTTCTTTCCTGGAATAAAGCAAATTCTTTTTTTTTTTTTTTTAACACACTAAAACTTTTGAATATTCATGAATCCTGTATGCCCATATGAATAATAAATATGATCATTACTTATTAATGGGCGATAAACAACGAAAATTTCATCCCTTGGGCTACTGATATACTTAAAAAAAATAAACCTGACAAATATTTCTTTAAACAAAAAGCTTGAATTTGGCTTGGGCGAGTTGAAATATATTTTTTACGAACCAACGAACGTAATTTCAAGCTTTTTTTCAAAATAAGATATTAAGCTCAAGTAAAGAAAAAACGTATATACATCTATGTGTGTCTATTTGTATGAAAACCGAATGGTGTCTTTAGATTAATTTAATAGCAATAAAATAATGGGAAAAAATTTAAATACTGTTATAATCATATTTAAGTGTTAAATAAAAACTGAGTTATTAAATAAAAGTTGAGAAGTCTATTGAGGTCGTCTTGGACATTAAGTAACCTTTTATGATTGAGGACTTAATCCGGTTGAAGTTTAAGAAATTATTTAAATAATTTGGATACAATGCAAGGTTCTGTGCTTGTAGTCTAACTTTAGAAACATATCCGGATAAAAAAAAAAAATATTGAATTAAATTAGTCGACTGTTCTACATATTATGGGTGATAAATATTCACGACACAGTCATTATAACGTTTTTATTAGTGCCGACGTTTCAACCCAAACATGTAGTTCATCATCAGGGCGTGGTTCGAACACTAAAGATATTCAAGTACTCTTTCCTATTCCTAGTACTTGAATGTCTTGTTATTTCAAAGAATCTTAAGTTATTTGTACAATTTATTAAAACGTTTGTTAAAGTCAGCTTTTCTGGTATTTACTTAATTGTGGACCTAATCTGGTTAAAGTTTAAGAAATGACGGTCTTAACCGGGACAATGTTGTTCTGTGATTGTATTCTTACTCTTGAAATTTTTTATTCTTTATGTTTATTCTTTAAAAAAAATTACAATTGGCATATAGCTATAGTATGAGTTCAATGCTGAAACAGGGAATTGTGTTCAAGCATTGAAGAAAAAATTTGGAATTTATATTTCCTACCTCCAAAAATCCTAAAATACGAGTTTTTCTAACAATCGATTTTTTTTTCTCAAAACTGTTTGATTTTTTCAAAAGTTGTAAACGTAACAACTTCAACACGGATCCACCTATTCAGACAAAAATAATCAGAGATTGAGGATCTTAAGAAACGCAAGAAATGGCTCACACCAGACCCCATAAACAAATTAGAAGTGTTGCTATAAAATAAAACCGGTCTATGAATGTTTGTTTGATTATATTTCATAAAAATTCATAAATTATAAATCTTGAATTTGAAGAAAATCCTTTTACAGAAGCTTTAGTGAACTGCTTCGAAATAAATCCTTCATTAATCTCAATTCTAAATATTTATATTTTTTTTATTTCTTGAGTGATAAATAGTGAGGGTGCAGTATTTTTAAAGGTTTTTTTTTTTTTTTGGTACTGACGTTTCAAACCAAACCCCCCATATTATTGGCCCACATATTCCGGTTGAAACGTCGGCACCAATAAAAACCTTTAAAATGACTGTGTCCTGACTGTGTATCACCCTTGAAATGTAGAACTGTCGACTAACTTCCTTCAATAATTTTTAATTTTTATACAATTTTATATTTAAAATTATTATAGTAAGAGAAACAAATCTCCATTGTTTTTCATGAAAGCTCTACTTAATGTTTTTTTTTTTGGTTTTTGTAACTTATTATACATTTGAGTTAATATGATCCAATAAAATGTATTGATTTATATATTCAAGTGCTTCGACCCCTGAGGTCATTAACTCTATAACCTATTTAGTATTTTGTGGTTCATTATGTTTTATTGTACATGTTGATTTTTTTGTATATATTTATTTATGATATTTACAACTGTATTAGTATAAATATATTAAGTAAATGTGTACAGAGGAATAAAACCTTATGAAATCGCTTTTTGAGAAACTACCTATGGCAGCACACCAATAATATGTCAATAAGGAGATCACGAGGCTCTTCTTTTTCGATTCCTGAACACCTCGGAGGGTTATCAGGAATCGACGAGGAAGAAAGATTAGAAACGAGAGGATTCGGATGATTATTAAGTTTATTGTGAAAGGATAAGTATCTGGAGTGGGCCAAATAGGAAATATATGGAACATTAAGGTCTTTATGGATTATTTTATTTGTGACAAAGTAAGGAGCATTGAGGACTTTACGAAAGATTTTGGATTGTAAGGATTGGATGCGAGAGGAATCGGATGGTTTAGTGGAGCCCCATAACTCAACTCCGTAAGTCAATTAGGTCTTATTATAGTCATGTACATGAGTCTTTTGAACTTAATTTGATGTTTAGAGCGTTTGTTCAGAAATTTCTTACGGCTCCAGAATCGTATTTCTAGAATTGTTGGCTGTAACAGAGTTGCTGATTGAGGTTATTGGTGCAATTTATTCTGATCTGATGGCTGAAGTTGTTTGGCTGCGAGTTGTTGTTGTAGTTTTGTTTGTTCCAGATGCCTTTTTTAAATGACCGATTTATTTTTTTTTTTTGTTTGGCAAGCCGGCAAGATCCGGGGGCAGTGTTTCGATGGCGCTTTTGAAGAGTCCTTCTTTTTAAGTATTGTTATTCCGTCTCACTGAAATTGGAAAATGGGGTTCTTCCTCCAATTCCTCGCCAGAGGTATTGTCGTGTCCCATGATAAGAGAAAAGTAAAAATAAAAAATCTACGAAATAAATCCTTAAAACAAAAATATTCACAGATAAAATAAGAAAAATTTTCAATATACATAAGTAAACAAAAGTCTTTAAGAAAAATAAATAAATGAAATAAAGAAAAGAGTAAAAAAAAAAATGTATTCCTTTATGTACAAACTTGGGATCACTCGAAGGAAGGTATGTTAGTAAATAGAACCTTGGCTGTAAATCTTATGTAGATAGGCAAGACCCGTAAATGGAATTGCCGACCAGCTGTGCTGATTACCGAACTAGTAACAATTAACTATTAAACATATATAATATATATATATATATATATATATATATATATATATATATATATATATATATATATATATATATATATATATATATATATATATATATATATATATTTTTTAGAATGGATAGGTCTTAGAATCGTTTTAGATCTGTAGAAAATTTGTAAGAGTCACGAGCCATATCGTCTGCTAGTAGTGTAATACTGCTAGATAAAAATTACTGTGAGAGTATTCTGGCGGGTCTTCTTTCTTCATTAAGCCCTAGGTGAGTCGACTACGGCCAATCCTGAGTTGGGTAAGAATCACGTCTCCGTTTCAACTGTAGATTTTTCTTAAGACGTTTTAAGTATTGTTTAATCATTCTTCTTTCATCAGATCGATCAGTTATTGAAAATCCTACTAAAACCCTATACGGTACAACACATGGAAACTTTTTATCGCTAATCTTGCCATTTCATTTCCAGCAATTTCACTGTGGCTAGGCAGTTATAAGAACGATAAATACCCTGTAACCTGATTCTTTCAATTTAAAACTATTAACAATATGTTACTCCTATTATACAAAAAAAAATGGCATATTATAATTTAATAGTCCGTAGAGTGCAAAGCCAGAAAACATATATAAAAATAATATTTTACAAAAAAATATAGAATTTTATGAAAAAAAATTGTCTCAGCTACTAAAAAGACGCGTCCCCGGCTCATTGGTAAAGAACGTTAAGCCATCAATAAGTCCACAACAATAAAACCGCAACCTCCCTATAAAACATCTAACATTTTCAGCTTACTTCCAAAAAAGGTAAAACAGAATGTTATCATTTTTGATTATGTATTTTTTTTTTTTCAGGAGTAGTGGCCCCGCTGTCGTTAGAAGACAAGAAATACTTCCACCCGACGCAGTGGGAGCGAGTGCCGGGGCGTGAGACAGCCTGGCGCCTCAAGCCCAACTCCTACCTCTGGCTCCCCGCTGCCGAACTGCCCTTCCCCAACAACTACTTCAAGAACCACTTCGCCCTCCTCCTCTCCCTCAGGATAGACCCAAAGGTAAGCTCGATGTATAACTTCACCCACTCTGGATAAAACTTTTCATTGGAAAACTCTTACGACCTACCTCTAGACTAACACGTAAGAAACAAAACCAAACGCAAAGATTTTTCTTACCTAATTTCCAATAATGTATATTAATTCCACAATTATTCAATTATTTAAAATATCGCTCTGAAATTATTTCAACTTAAACCTTAAAAATAGATTTCTAAATAAACCCAAGATCGTGGAGAGTATTATAATTCTTATTAGTCAACCTCCAAAATCTTTCAAGTCGAAATAAGAGTAACGTTTTTCTTATTTTCTATCGATTTTTAAAAAATATCATCTGCTAAAACAAAAATCATCCGAAAATCTAAGAAAATGAATCATACATTCTATTGTTCATTTGTTTAAACTGTGCCTCTCATTCCCAGAATTTATTTTATAGAACTAAGTAAATCAATTTAGTAATAAAAAAATAAGCAATTATTGATCAATTTTAAAATTTAAAACAACAACAGCTCCTAATAAAATACAAAAGGTGACATATATTTTGTCCCTATTCTTCTTTTGTCCATTTTGTTACCTCTATCCCTTGTGTTAGAGATAATACAACCCACGCTATGTCACGCAATGCCATTTAATCTTCGCTTTTGAAGGTTTTGGCAATGAAAAAAGTATCAAAATAAAAAATACAAAACTTTAACTAATTCTCCATTATTTTTTTAATTTTCATGAAAAATTATTTTTTTCTTTCCTTATCAAGATTTCAACTCCCACTCCCTCCACCCTATATATTATTTTTGTCTCTTTTATAAATAAAAATTCAAGTACCATCGAATACTTAAAGTCAAAGACAATCTTGGATCTTTATTAAAGGATAATTCCTATAAAAGTGAGAAATTGAGGGATGTAAAGTTAATGTCAGACCGTGTTCATCCGTTCAAGAATTTAATCATTCATAGACCAGAGACAGCCAAAAGATGTTTGGTTACAATTGTCATATAAAAAAAAAACTATTGGTTAGCACATGATTTAAAAACTAGAATAAAATAGCAAAACAAACAAAGATATTTGAAAATTGTTATTAGGTACCAAAAAGTTTTTTTTTTTTGGTCCTTCCCTTCCTCGCCGTTAAGGCTATACGGGGGTTTTCCCGTATAGACCCCCAGGGAGTGTGGGCGGGGATTTATAAACTCCTCCGGGCACCGGGACGCGAACTCGTGACCATTTTTTTTTTTTAACTGAGTCTTATGTATCAGGTTGCCGGGCAAAGGCGGTGCAGTGCACACGTGTTAGCCCATTCGGCCACTCCGCCCACTGGTACCAAAAAACTAGGCAAGATTAGAACAATTTATTGTAACCTAATTACAAAAGCTTTGTCACAACATAGCGAACCGGCCTTCGACAATTGGCACCCTCGGACTGTGACGTCATATACCCCTTAAAAGAAAATTATTTCTCAGGTTGTTTCATATTATGTAATATTTTAATTTGACTTCATTCAATAATTTAATTTGACTTCATTTCTCTAGTACAGTTCATTTATTAAAAGGGTGAAATTAATTATTTAAATACGTTTATTACATAAATTATTAAAACACTTGAAAGAAAATAGCATTGTTGCTATGATCGGCACCCTCCGGTTGTCTAATAATCAGTAACAACATTTTGATATTGAAAATACAAAATTTTCAGATGTAGTGGAATTTTCAAAAAAATCGAGAAAAATAAAAGAATCTATTTATATTTATAAAATAGAAATACATTACTTATTATTTATTTTATTTTATTTTCCTCCCTATCCTGCCTTTAAGACAATACGGGAGTTTGCAGCAGTGACTTGATACACATTGTATAACAAATCACTGTTGCATGTTTATCTATTTACATTTTTAAATTGCTGTGCACACAGCCTGCTTGATAATTTTGTCACTTAGTTATTGTTCTCCATCTTCTTCTCCTGTCCTAATTAGCGGCCTTCCAGGTACTGCTTCTTCACGCCTTCCCAGGGAGAAGTGGGTTGGGCCCACAGTTTTTTTCCAGCCGCATACGAAACTTTTAAAGTGCGGGTAGTTTTGTTCAGACATTAGTTGGGGTAATTGTCCTTCTGTAAGAACGAAAAGCCCTGTATCCCTCATTAATTTGGCCCTCAGTGCCTCATAGCTGGTGCAGGCTACAAGGATGTGCTCAGCGGTTTCAAGTACTCCACAAGTGGGGCATAAGGGATCGATATTTTTACTGTGTTTAAAAAGTTTCGCTCTGAAACCCCCATCCCCCGTGAGGATCTGTGAGACCCAGTAGTCCGGGAGGACCCATTTCTTTTCTAAGCGCGATTCAACAGTGGGAAAGAATTTTCTTAGTGTGGACCCGTTTGGGGTTGTCACCCATCGCCGATTCCATTGTTCCAATGTATCCTCCCGGATCTTCCATCTTCTGGGGTCATCACAAACCCTATCCCGAATGTTTGCTGGTAAATCCGCCAAGCCATCCCTCTTAATGTTGTGCCGAAAAAGGTCTTCCCGCAGGAGGAGGTCGAGAGGAATACCTCCTCCTAAGACCTGCACCGCCTCATGGGACACAGTTCTGTATGACCTGGTTACTCTAAGCAGGGCCATCCGCTGGATTGTTGCCAACTTGCGCTTCTGACGGTACGAGAGATTCCGGTTCCATGCGGGGGACGCGTATCTCAGGATACCAACAACTACTCCTTTATAAATGGACATAGTTGCTGGATATCTAAGGCCCCAAAAGGCCCCCCCTATGCGACTGAGACCATTAAGGGCTAAGGTTATCCTATTCCTTAAGTAATCCAAGTGAGGCGTCACGTTGAATTTTTTCCCAATCCTAATTCCAAGATAGGTGACTACCTCACTTGGAAATATTCTGGAACCTTGTATCACCAAGGTTATGGGGTGTGCCCTATCGGTCGAACCTCTCAAGAGGATGGCCTGAGTCTTGGAACCCGCCATCCTTAACTTCTTTTTCTCGCACCATTCTTCTACAAGGTTGGCACAACGTTCAGCTTCATATTTTAATCTGGTCCTGCTATTCGAGGCCACTACAACAGCCAGATCATCTACATATGCAGTGGCGGGGAACCGCTCCTGTTCTAGCACTCCCAGCAACTCGTCAAAGACCAGTTTCCATAGGGCAGGGCCAAGGACAGAGCCCTGTGGACAGCCCCTTTCCACTGTATCTTCTACTTCATAGAAGCTACCTTTAATCTTCAATGTCCTATCGTGGAGATAGCTTCTGATCAAGCCATACAAGTTGCTGGGGGCTTCATGCCTTTGCAACTGCTGGAGTACGCTCGGCCTCCAGACGCTATCGAAGGCGGATGATATGTCAAACAGGAGGAGCATAACATACTTCTCCGCCTTCTCTTCAACATCACAGCGCACTCTCAGCAGGGCATCTGCGGTTCCCCTGCCTTTAGAGGATCCGTACTGCCGTGGATGGCTCGCTCTCGAGAAGACTGGCCGTAGGCTGGTGAGTATCAGGTTTTCTAACACCTTGCTCATGACTGGGAGGAGACATATAGGTCTATAAGATTTGGCTAATTGCTTATCTTTGTCTCCTCCAGTGTTGGGCATTTACTCGAGTAAATGTCGAGCAGTGACGTCACGAGTGATCACTCTCGGAAGCTGAGCCATGAGTAATTTTGAAAATTACTCGTGAAATATTTTTCCTTCATGAGTAAATCACTCGTGAAAAATGTTATCTCCATGAGTAAATTACTCATGAAAAATTTTAACGCCATGAGTAATTTTGAAAAAAAAAATGTTTTTATTTTATTTAACCTAATTTTTTTTTCACCTTTCCGATTTATTCGATATCGGGGTCGACGTATATGTTTTGGGGGCGCTTTTTATGGAAATGTTATCCAATTTGAGATTGGGCCCCCCGGGCCTCGACTTTTTTTAACTTTTCGGATTAAATCGATATCAGGGTCGACTTATAGGTTTTGGGGGGCGCTTTTTATGAAAATGATATCCAATTTGAGATTGGGCCCCCGGGCCTCGACTTTTTTTAACTTTTCGGATTAAATCGATATCAGGGTCGACTTATAGGTTTTGGGGGGCGCTTTTTATGAAAATGATATCCAATTTGAGATTGGGCCCCCCGGCCTCGACTTTTTTTAACTTTTCGGATTAAATCGATATCAGGGTCGACTTATAGGTTTTGGGGGCGCTTTTTATGAAAATGATATCGAATTTGAGATTGGGCCCCCCGGCCTCGACTTTTTTTAACTTTTCGGATTAAATCGATATCAGGGTCGACTTATAGGTTTTGGGGGGCTCTTTTTATGAAAATGATATCCAATTTGAGATTGGGCCCCCCGGCCCCGACTTTTTTTAACTTTTGGGATTAAATCGATATCAGGGTCGACTTATAGGTTTTGGGGGGCGCTTTTTATGAAAATGATATCCAATTTGAGATTGGGCCCCCCGGCCTCGACTTTTTTTAACTTTTGGGATTAAATCGATATCAGGGTCGACTTATAGGTTTTGGGGGGCGCTTTTTATGAAAATGATATCCAATTTGAGATTGGCCCCCCCGGCCTCGTTTTTTTTTAACTTTTGGGATTAAATCGATATCAGGGTCGACTTATAGGTTTTGGGGGCGCTTTTTATGAAAATGATATCCAATTTGAGATTGGGCCCCCCGGCCTCGTACTTTTTTTAACTTTTGGGATTAAATCGATATCAGGGTCGACTTATAGGTTTTGGGGGCGCTTTTTATGAAAATGATATCCAATTTGAGATTGGGCCCCCCGGCCCTCGACTTTTTTTAACTTTTGGGATTAAATCGATATCAGGGTCGACTTATAGGTTTTGGGGGCGCTTTTTATGAAAATGATATCCAATTTGAGATTGGGCCCCCCGGCCTCGACTTTTTTTAACTTTTGGGATTAAATCGATATCAGGGTCGACTTATAGGTTTTGGGGGGCGCTTTTTATGAAAATGATATCCAATTTGAGATTGGGCCCCCCGCCCCCGTTTTTTTTAACTTTTGGGATTAAATCGATATCAGGGTCGACTTATAG